TGACATGATGACCACCTTCAATATGAGCAGAAGATGAGTTAGCATGCAGTTTCTATCCAGCAGGACACTTACCAGTCTGGACTAGCCAAAAGTCAGCTTTCTGAGACTGAGATACGCGCTCAGAACAGCAAAAACCACACAGCGTTTGGGACAGAAGAGAGTGATCTTTCCTTGTTAAAGCCATCAGCTTTGGTATCACACAAGCGTAACGCGTTGGTATGATAAAATGAGCAAAGACATGCTAAAATTCTTTTCTGACAAAAGAATTTGTTTTCTTAACGAAGAGAGCCGAGTACCCGTGAAGCCAGGCTGTAGAATGGTCCGTTGAACAAGGCTGTGCTAGGACCCTACCAGTTCCCTACATGCCTCCCCCATCAAAACCAACGTGCTTCCACACACTTCGTTATGTACTCACATAAATTCATTACATGTCCACCCAACACACACGTGCAACCTCCTTCCCCAGTGTGAGCATGTCATAGAGCTGTCGTATCAGGGAGAGAGCTCCTGTATCCAGGGTGCTCTCAGCAACAGTACCAAAACTTCCCCCAACAATGCATCTAGTCTGTAGCTCACACCCAAAAGGCTCTTACGAAAAAAGGCAGCGTGAAGGTGACCAGATACCTTGTTCAGACGTGTCATATCAGGCCCACACATAGTAAGTTGGCCACCCTTAACTATTCAGATTTAAAGGGACTTTTTAGGAACAGAAAAATAGTCAAGGCTGAAATTTCAAACACTTCAGCAAACCCCAGGAGATACTCATAGCACTCAGAGTCCAAGCCCCATCCCTTGCCCTTCGTTTCCATCCTAGATGCACATACTTTTAGTGGCAGTTTGCCCAGTTCCTTTCGTTTCTTTTGAGCAGCTTTCACCACTCCAAAGAGTACATCAGTATGGATCGTCCTCTCGTGGGCTTCATCCAGGATGACAATGCTGTACTTCCGCAGCATAGGGTCCCCAATAGCTTCGCGAAGCAGCATTCCATCTGTTAAAAACTTGATTCTCGTTTCATCAGATGTAAGATCGTCGAAGCGTACAGTGTAGCCAACCTACGGAAGTGAACATTACAGAAAGTACAAGCACAAAGTTACTTGCATTTCTTGTTGCCATCATACCATGAGGAAGGACTACAAAGCACTCTGGTCAATGCATCAGACAGAGCCAACTAGAACTCCAAGGAGGCTCTGGAAAGGGTAACAGTGTATTTGCAGTCTGTGAGCAGTTAATCTTGCAATCTAATAATCCACCCAAAGGATGCTCTCAACACTGTATCCCAATTGGCTTTTTCCCCAACTAGAAGTTTATCACAAATGCTCCAAGTTTCCTTTCCTTCCTCCCCTGCTAGAAACTACTCCATGCTCTCCAAAGTTTTTACATAGGGGGAAGTCTTTCTCCTCCACTTTTCTCCTGCAGATTCACAGATCTCCACAGATTCAGCATTCTGCTCTCCTTGACAGTGACTTTTGATACAGGGAGCAATGGAAGAGAGCACAACATTTTTGTTTTATTCATTAACGAGTATTTTTTTCAAATGGAGGAACACAGACAATAATCAAGAAGTAAAATACCACAGAGAGTGTCAAACATGGCCCACCCCAAGCCACAGAAGCAGGTAAACAGCCATTTTTTTCTATTCGGGCATATTATTAAATGAAGAGTACCTATTACCCCTGTGGCTGTTTTTTATCTTACCCATTAAGCCCTGATACAGCCCCATCAATGCTGCAGTGCTAAACCAAATCTCTAAAGACTCTGTAAACCACCTACCAGTTTCCCCAGCTCTGTCTTCTTCTCGTCCGAGACTCTGGTAGCTAAGGCTATAGCTGCTACTCTGCGAGGTTGGGTCACAGCAATGATGCCTTGGCGACCAATTCCCGCTTCGTAGAGGTACTGAGGGATCTGAGTGGTCTTCCCTGAGCCCGTTTCTCCTAAGGAACATCAAGGGAATAGTTTTTCCCTTTTATAGCATCTTCAAATGAAAGGTCCCAACCCATTTTTTTAATGTTAACTTTTAACCATATTTCAGGATGGGGAGGCTGAAGGCAGGAAGAGGTTCGACAGCTGGCCCAAAGTCACACCATAAAGCAGCGGCAGGCCAGAGTCAGACCCCAACGCCTTGCTCTAGTTGCTAGACCACTCCTCTACAAAACTCCTTTCACCCAGGTTCTCTCCAGCCACACTCTGGTTTAGAAACACATTCCAGTCTGTCTAGATATGAAGCATTTGGTGTGTAACACAGCCAACGTAAGAAGATAACCATGCAGAGCAAGGAATAGACATCAGTTTGGTTTTATGCATATATTCACACTATGCACTAGGAAGTTTCAAAGTAAAGCTGTAAGCAAATCAAAGCTTTTGTCACAACAGCAAGTAGCGAGTTAAGGTTTGAGGCTCTCTTAGAGGAGCACTCAGGGCACCAACAAGCCAGCAAGTCCTTCTCTGTGCCTTCCGGAAATCAGAGATGGTCCTTTCAGGCTCAGGTGAATGTATTATCTGTCCGTACTGCACTAGCACACAAGATAACAAACACTATCCCATGTCCCCCCAGGTGTATTTCCAACACGAACTCTGTGTAGACCCCTCTACCAAAGATGCAATACAGACAGCTACCATCAATACTTACCACAGCGTCAGCAGCAAAAAGTGTAATTTACTGGGCACACTATAATGTCACACAAATCACAGTGCTTAGAGGCACCGCAAGTGAAACCGTCTGAAGTGCAATGTGCACGGAAAAGCAGAGAATGTTTTCAACATCACTGTCGTTTTCCTGCACATTTTATTACAGCTTAAAACACACCTGTGACTCAAATCAGATCCCCTTCAGCTTTCTACTGGCCTGTTACAAGAATCGCTCTATGTGAAAGAGCGTGAGGCTCTGGAAAACAGTGCCCTGTACTCTCAATCCTTGCAAGACAGCAACAGCACAGAGCACATGGGGGAGTGAGGTGAGAACTGACAAGAGAAGGAAGAAGAAGCATGAGAAATTCAGAAGGATGGCCACCAAGCAGAGAAGAATTGGAAAGCCAAATTGTAAGCACTGCAGCTGCAGACTGGAAATCATGGGTGAGCTTTTTTACCTCACTCCACAGCTGCAAAATTCTAAGTGGCATATTATACTGTATATTTAGCAAGCAATAATGACGATCTCAGGATTGTAGAGAGGAAAGGAGATAAATGCAGTTGTGCCTATCAGCTATCACGACTGATTTTTTTTTTTGAAGTGCTCACTTGTAGGAGTGAAATACAAAGCATTTCTCATTTAATTCTAATAAGCGCTGAGTCTTTAGACTTCCAGGTGGGAAGCTGTACGTCTTCAGCTCCTGAAAGTCAGACAAACAGCTTATTAGTTTGGCCTCAAAGGAAACCTAATAAAACTAGAGAACGTCCCCGAAAATTTAGCTGAGGAGATACTTTTTCCAAAGAGTAGGGGTTTGCCATTTGGCTTTAAGTTGACTGAACTCCAGGCAGATGGTGAAACAAGAGAGGAGAGAGAAATACTTTTGCCGTCTCCCTAAAAACCAAGCCACCAGCCGCCTCCGCCAGTCGAAACTCACGAACGGCAACACTACTGATATACCACGTTTCACGTTTACGCCCAAACCGTTCCTCCCCGCAGGCCGCGCCGTTCCCCGCCGCCCGCCTCCCCCGCGCTGAGCCCCGCTTCAGCGGGCGGCCGCGGCGGGGCTCCCCGGGCCGAGGCCGCGCCA